TTTTTCTTTTTCAAAAGTGCATTCAATATGAGAGTAAATCTGTTTTTTATTTGATGATAAATAATTTTTTTAATCAATTTATATATTAATCGATATTAAACTCTATCTTTAAACAATTTTTCAAATAATTAGGGTGTTTGGGATGTAAGGGTGACGCTAGCTATATATGAAAAGCTTGATATATAGTTCTCAATTTTTTATTTTTTTTAAAAAAAGAAAAACTAGAGAGAGAGAAAAAAAAGTTAGATATATTAAGCTAGTTTGTTGTGCCTATCTAAAAAGATAAAAAATAATAAAAAAAATCTTTTGCGAGGTAAATGTTTCAACGAAATTTCCAAGTCCATGCAAAAACCCATCACATCACATTATTTCAAAACCTTCAATTATTGATTATCCGTAAAAACAGTGAAATATTTATTTTAATTCAACCCCACTTCCTGAGGTTCCCTCCGGTTATAAAAGCAAACCACAAGACCTACTTCATTATATATATAAATGTATTTTTATCCTATATTAAAAATCTTATTGGTAAGCGAACAACTTGTTGGTATTTGACATATTTTTTGAACTTCATACAATTGCCAATAATTAATCTATAAAAAAATCCATTAATTAACATTACGGAAACAAATCTTTGTTTTTTCTAATATTTTTCCACTATTAGATGAAACAAGCCAATAATATTTTCAAATATTTGAAACAACTCTAAATAACTTTTTTTTTCATCTAATAATAAAGAATTTTTTTAATAAAATTGCATGTCAATTGAAATTATTATTATTTTTTCAATATAATTTCGAGGATGAATCAAATAACTTTATTGACTGCAGTTGATTTCCAGCTGGTTAACGTAAAGGCTGTTTTTTTTTTTTTAAGGGAAATGCAGTCAACAAACTTTTTAAAACATTCTTCTGTACAAGATTAATCTTCTTAAAGAAGAAAAAAAATTGTTGTTTAACAACTTTGAAATACAACGATGAATTAAATTTGGGTCACCCAATTTTGAATTTGAATACATCGAAGTTAATGGAATTTTCAGCCTATTCGACAATTTTCAACAGCTGATCCTTTGAGTACTTTGCTATGGTGGCCAGCTGGTCCTGACTGTTGACTCCCACCTTGGCTGCCTCCCCACCCATTCTGCAGTCATCAAGACAGCCTTTTAGACTACTCAATAAATAATCAATAGTATTCAAAAAAAAATCTAATGATTGATTAAAAATAAAATGAAATGAAAATATAAACGAGACATGAGTAACTTGAAAAATTCAAAATCTCAAACGATTAGAGTAAATTATAAATTAGTCCCTTTTATTTTGAGAAACAAATTAATTAGTATATTTTTTTAAAAAAATAATTATTTTTATTTTTTAAAATCTACTTGTAATTTAATTTTTTTATTTTTTTATTTTATTTTAATTTTTTGTTTTAATAAATATAAAAAAATGTTAACATATTAACGAGGAAATAAGAGATTTTATGAAATAAAAATAATATTAAATTAAATATAATCAATATCGGTTAAATAATTAAATAATAGTTTTTGAAATAAGAAAAACTAATTAATTTATTTCTTAAAACTAGAGGATCTAATTTATAATTTACTCCAAACTATTATAATCATCTGTTTTACATCATTTGCGGCATTTTTCAGTGATGGTGTTAAATTTACATTTTTGATGTTTATAGAAAAACTAATTGTATTACATATTGATTTGTTTCTTAAATCTATTTTCTTTGGTTAAGAATTTCATATCATTTGGATGCTTTATTTATATTATATTAGTCTCTTATTAAAAGACATTTTAGAATTAGGACTTTCAAACTCTGTGAATTGCACTATTTTTTTTTTCCGAATTTTACCTCTCTTTTAAAAAAAGAAAAAGCATTTCGTACTATCAATATTTAGTTCGAGTAAATTATAAATTAGTCTTTCTTATTTAGAAAAATAAATTAATTAGTCCTTCTATTTTGAAATTTACTTGTAATTTAGTTATTTTTATTTTTATTTTTTTAGAAATAGAAAAAGAGAAAATAATTAAAAATTTGATGAGAAAATAATGTATTTGTGGAATAAAAATAATATTAAATTAAGTATAATTAACATTAATTAAAAGATTAAATATTTGTTTTTGAAGCAAGACTAATTAATTTATTTCTTAAAACTAAAAGGAATATTTTATAATTTACTCTATTTTGTTTGCTACTGCACTTATCCTGAACCTTTAGATTTTTCTAAAAACTTTCCGATCTCGTTCATCAAAAAGACAAAAAAAAATGTTTGAAATAATATTTCTTCCCTCACTAGATATTTACCAGCTAATAAATTCTTGGCAGGAAAAAAAGTACAAAATAATTAAGTTCATCAGTCAATTAACTTTGCAACTACCGATACCAATTCATGTTAAAAAAACAAAAAAAGACCTTTGAATCGGGAAAAAAAAAAAGAAAAGAAAAGAAAAAATGACCGTAGTGGACACCTGAATTGAATTTTAATCTTTTTTGGGTAATATTTTACGTAGGACCCAGATGTGAAATAAATAAAAAGAAGGAAAAAGTTCAACCGCCGGTTTTTCTTTTTCATATTCGAAACCTTCTTTTTCCTTTTGCTTCCCACACTTTTTTCATATATACTGCTTACATGTACGTGTAAAGACTATATTAATTTCTTAAAGATTTGTTATATTCTTTTCATACTAACTTTTGCATATTTTATTAAAAATTCAAATTTAGATGACCCATTTGACTGCTGGGTCCCTATTGATTGGTTGCCTTGTGTTTGAAATTCGAGAAACTTTCTACTTTTATCACAATAAAAAAAATGATTAAAGAAAACTAATATATTATAGTAGTAGAAGTTTCCAATAAAAACGGGCATTAGACTCCAAAATGGAAACCAAAAAATTACTAGTAATATATATATATATATATATATATATATATATATATAACTAATGATATTTGAAACAGAAGCAAATAATTTTAACCTCTTTCCATAAATAATATTTTAAAATTCGAATATTGTATATTCATAGAATATTCGTATGAAAACCTGCTTACTTACTCATTGTATTTTACTATATTTTAACTTTTAAATTAATATGGTTTTCTTCTTTTTTTCACCCAATAGCTTAACGGAGAGGATTTTATAAAAATAAAGTTTAAATATCAATTAGTTTATATGATTTAACCAGCATTCTGCGTTCAAGATATATACCGTATTTGGGTAGTATAATCATAGTGGGGAGTTGGTTTTTTTTTTTTTTTGTTTCAAGAAAACAAGAAATGAAACAAAATCCGCACGATTTTTTATTTTTTAAAATGAAATTGGAGAATAATAGAAGTCTGGAAGTAATTTCCACGTCAGCAAAAGAAAAGTGATGCACGTCTTGGTGATATAGTAGGTCAATGACTAGGGGGGCCTACACATTCCTAGAAGGTAGCGTCCGTGTTACTGTGTTGGGGATCCATAAAACGTCACAAAAACGTCGGAAAAAACTGATGTCCCAAGTAAGTCAATATAATAAATATATTAGAAAATCATAACAAAATATTTCTCCAAATCATCATGATCCAAAATCAAATATCCAATTATTTTCGATCTTTTTTTATCAATTTACTGATTTGGTTAATTATGATTAAAAAAATATATAAAAATATCAATTTAGTTTTCTTTTTTAATTTTATCATATTTTCAATTATATAATTAAACACACTGTATGTACGTTGTTTTTACAAACTATTAAATAAATAAATAGTTTAATATATAATCATATAATTTTTTTATTCTTTAATATGTGATTACGATTACGTTTTTAATTACATATATTATGTTATCTAATAATATTTAAGTTTTTAATATATTTTTTCAATCAATTTTTAAATTATAAATAAATTTTCAATCGAAATGTCCTTCTTTAAAATACAAATTTTCTTTTTTAAATATTTTTAAAATAAAACATATTACATTTCAATCACAATCATTTGGATAAAAAAGTTTATTAATAACTGAAAAAATTGAAAAAAAAACAAATTATAAAATTAAATATTATTTTAAAATATAATAAATATAATTAAAAATATAAAAATTCATTGAAAACTCATGTTATTATATAAATATCAATTGAACTATTTATCGTTAAAAAATTACCAAAAATTTACCATCCACAATGTAATATAATATTTGAAAATCTCATTGAACTCCTTGGCTAAAGAATCAGCACACCTTTTTAACATGCGATATGGAGCGATATGGATCCACTTCATGATATAGGATCGGTCCATGTAAAGGGGTAAACCCCATTGATTAGTTTCACGAGGACTTGAGTGCTTTTTAGGTCGCTTTTGAGCTTCCCTTAATGGTAATCTTAATGACTTTTATGAATTTGTGTCTTTACCCTCTGGCTTCTACTAATGCCGCCCAGATATACCTTCTGGCTTCTACTGATAACTGACGCAGCCTGATATTAAAAATATCATCTCTTTTAAAAGTTTAAATTGATAACCGAGATCATAAAATATAATTTATATTAACTTCTAATATATTTTGTCAAGTGAAAATTTTAATATTTAAATTTGAAACTTATACAGTGTCTACGTTACGTCATTCTTAATACTTAAAAAATTGAAAATGATGAGATTTTAATTCAAAATTTCTTAATCAATCAAACTCGATATTATATTAAAAGATTATCTCATTTAAAAACTTAAATCCATAAGTAAGACTCACTATAATTTATATTAGTCTCTTTTTTGGGTTTTCTTCACTGTAAGACAGTAATACCTCTGCAATTCAATTAAGTAAGCATCAATTCTATCGTCATTATAAGATCTAACTACTCAATTAAGAAAACGCGTATTCTCTTTCTTTTTCCTTTTTCGTTTTTCGATTTTTTTCCTTTTGTTGGCTTTACTCAACCTATGCCTACCTTTCTCTGGCATATAAATACAGCCCCACGCCATAAACCATACTCGACACTCACCACATTCCTCTCTCATCAATGGCCTCTCCTTCGCTTTTCAAAGAAACCATGCTTCTCTTCTTCTTCTTCTTCTTCTTCGCCTCTCTCTCACTTTCAACTGAAGAAACCCAGCTCAAGAACGAGTCTCTTTCCTTTTCTTTCCCTCTCACTTCCCTCCCTCGTTCTCCACAAACCTCTCCAAGTTTCTACTCCTCTTTCATCTCGCAAACCAAGAAAATCCCAACACTCAAAAGCTCATCGCCGTATAATTACAGGTCAAGATTCAAGTACTCAATGATATTGCTAGTGTCTCTCCCTATAGGGACACCACCGCAGTCTCAGCAAATGATTTTGGACACTGGCAGCCAGTTGTCATGGATTCAGTGCCATAAAAAGGTTCCTAGGAAACCTCCACCTAGTACTGTGTTTGATCCTTCTTTGTCTTCTTCATTCTCAGTTTTACCATGCAATCACCCTATATGCAAGCCTAGAATTCCTGATTTTACCCTACCAACTTCCTGTGACCAGAACCGTTTGTGCCATTATTCTTACTTCTATGCCGATGGAACATTAGCTGAGGGTAATCTTGTAAGAGAAAAGATTACCTTTTCTAGTTCCCTGAGTACCCCTCCTTTGATCTTAGGTTGTGCTGAGGATGCAATTGATGACAAGGGTATTTTGGGAATGAATCTTGGGAGGCTGTCCTTTGCTTCCCAAGCTAAAATAACCAAGTTCTCATACTGTGTACCCACCCGGCACGTTCGGCCAGGGTTTACACCAAGCGGGTCGTTTTACTTGGGTGAAAACCCGAATTCAGCTGGGTTTCAGTATATTAGTCTTTTGACTTTTCCTCAAAGTCAACGGATGCCCAATTTGGACCCTTTGGCTCACACTGTTGCTTTGCAAGGAATTAGAATTGGAAACAAAAAGCTAAACATTCCGATTACGGCCTTCCGGGCCGATGCTAGTGGGGCGGGTCAAACCATGATTGACTCCGGCTCTGAGTTCACTTACTTGGTGGACGAGGCTTACAATAAGGTGAGGGAGGAAGTAGTGAGACTGGTGGGGCCAAAGTTGAAGAAGGGCTACGTGTATAGTGGTGTATCCGACATGTGTTTTGATGGCAACGCGATAGAGATCGGACGGTTGATAGGCGACATGGCGTTTGAATTCGACAAAGGTGTGGAGATAGTAATTGAGAAAGAGAGGGTTTTAGCTGATGTTGGCAGTGGGGTGCACTGTGTTGGGATCGGACGGTCAGAAATGTTGGGTGCTCCTAGCAATATAATAGGAAATTTTCATCAACAAAATCTATGGGTGGAGTTTGATGTAGCCAATCGTAGAGTGGGTTTTGGTAAAGCTGATTGTAGCAGATCAACGTAAGAGAAAGAACATGAGGTGATGTTTGGTACTTGGTAGATATTATAATATAATGTATGGGGCCAGGATAGTTAATCAGGTAGTAAATGTTACACTGTACAAAAGAAAAATATCAGTACGGTCTTTTCGTGTTGGTCTAATCCAATGGTCCACATCAAACTAACATTTTGGCCCTGTCTCAATGTCTTTGAATGTCTGTACTAGTTTGTTTGTGGTAAGGTAAGATTTTCAACGTTTGAGTCTGTACATTGAGGATATTTATGGAATTGCACTCTCCCTTGTTTTTTTGTAATATTTAAATTATTTTACCTTGCTCTGATAGTGTGTATATATATATATATATATATATATATATATATATATATGATGATACATTCAGTTATTATATTAATAATATTATTAAATATGATTTAAAACTAAGATAAATTTTAAATTAGTATCTCTTGTTTCAAGAACTCAAGAAATGAGTTGATTAGTTTTTTGAAATAATCATTTAATCTTTTGTTAGAGTACACAAAGTGAATTAAGAGAGAGAGAGAGAGAATGAAAGCTAACATCAGCTTTTCATAACCCAGAGATCATTATCTCAACTCCTTTTCTTCACACATAAGATGCCTTTATATATAGGCTGTGAGGAAGAAGGAAACCTAAACAAGAAAATCATCCTATCTAAAAAGAAGAGGAAGAGAGAAACGAAAAACATGAGGAATGCACCAGCTAGCATCTAACAAATTTTACTAACCAACTAAGTCACCGTTATAGCCATAACGACTATATTTTTAAACGTTTTTAACACACGTTATTTTTTTGCTTAATATTCCCCTTTAAGAGTAGCATGTATGTTTGCAATGCTCATCTTAGTGAGAAGAAAATTGAAACGGGAAGGCTGTAACGACTTGATAAATATGTCCGTTAGTTGCATGCCGGTTGTGATGAACTCGAGTTTAAGTATCCCAATAAGGACTTTCTCTCCGATAAAATGACAATCAAGCTCAATATGCTTGGTTCTCTTATGGAAAATAGGGTTTTTACCGATGTGGATTACCAATTGGTTGTCACATTTGAGAGTCACAACGACTCGACGAGGGAAGCCTAAATCTCGCAAGAATGATAAGTAGCCAAACTATCTCACAACAATGAAGAGGCCATGGCTCTATACTCGCCTCTGCCGAACTTCTTGCTACCAAAGATTGCTTCTGGATTTCCGATTGACCGGAGATGTGCCAAGAAAATGCAAAAACCAAGTGATTGACTTTCGAGAATCCAAACATCCCGCCCAATCACTATCGATAAAAGCTTGAAGCTACACATCCGATTCCGTTGAAAACATGATACCTTGACCAAGAGCACCCTTTAGATATCCAAGTACGTGAAAGGTCGCTTATAAATGTATGGAGGCATGCTTGTCCATGAATTGAGATAAGACCCGAGTTGCAAAGTCGATATCGTGGCGTGTAAAAGTCAAATAAAGTGGTTTACCAACTAGTTATTTGTAACCAAAAGGATCTTCTAGCCATTCCGAATCTCCTCGACTAATTTTGCATAAGGATCCATCGGAGTAGTAGGCCGGTTTAACCCCAAGTAGGCCATGTTCGTCGACAAATCAAGAACGTACTTCATTTGACATAGAAATATGCCTTTTGGAGACCTAGCCACTTCAATTCCAAGAAAGAACTTCAACTCGCCTAAATCCTTCATCTTGAACCGAGAATGAAGATATTGCTTGAAATCCTTAATAATGACAAACTGAGTTGCTAGCAATGACTATGTCATCAACATACACAAGCAAAGCAATGAACCCTCTTGATGGAATTTGCTTAGTAAACAAAGAGTAATCCGCCTTTGATTGCAAAACCCGAAAGATAACAATGAAGAAGTCGACTTAGCATTCCATTTCTTAGAGGCATGCTCTAATCCATACAAGGATTTTTGAAGCTTGCAAACCGAGTCATGAGTGTTTAGCATGGTCTTCCTAGACCTTATACCCCTATAGAAGGTCCATATACACTCGTCTCATACAAATCTCCATGCAAAAAGAATTATTCACATCCATTTGTGCAAGGAACCAATTATGTGAGGCAAGAAGAGCTAAGAAGACCCTCACTATTATTTGTTTAACCACAGGATCGAAAGTTTCTTGAAAATCAAAACCTTCATTTTGATTGTAGCCTTTAGCAACCAGCCTAGCCTTAACTAATCAATGCTTCCATTCGCATGAAACTTGATCTTATATACCCATTTGCAACCCACTCGTATGTTGATGCGGTGGAAGATGAACAATTGTCCAAGTTTTGTTATCATCGAGGGCATCAAGCTCTACCTTCATGGCCGCTTGCCAATGTTCAAAATGCATAACCCGATGGTAGGTTTGAGGCTCGATTAGAGTGGAAAGACAAGTAATGAAAGTGGCATGAGAAGAGGAAAAGTTTCGTTGCATATACAACTCGTTGAATGGGATGCCGTGTGGAACTAGTAGAAGAAAATGCATTATGATAATTAGATAAGTAATTTGGTGGCCTATTGGTTTTATTGCTCTTGCGAAGAGGAAGAGCATGATTAGTGTTTGAGGAAGAAGATAGAGAATCGAGCAAGGTACAAATGTGGAATCATCGATAGAAGAGGCATGATTAGGCAAAATATGGGATACCGTGTAAGGATCATTAGGAATAACAAGTTCCGAATCAAGATTTGATGTTAGATGTGATGGAACGAGTAGAACAAGTGTAGAGTCAACGTGGTCTAACTTATGATGTGAGAAGGGAAATACATGCTCATGAAACACAACGTCTTTGGATATGAATACGGCTTTAGAATGCAAATCATATAGTTTGTATGCTTTCATGCCAACGAGATAGCCAAGAAAAATACACTATCGAGCTCTCAGGATCAAATTTCCTTCTATATTGAGATAAAGTGGATGCAAAACACGGACAACCAAAGACTCATAAATGAGCATAAGAAGGGGTTCTATTGAACAACATTTCATAGGGAGTTTTGTTATGGATAATGGGTTTAGGCAATCGATTGATGATGTGTGCTACCGTTAGGACGACGATCCCCCGTAACATCACCGGCAAAGAAGATTTAAATAATAAAACCCCGACAATGGTTAGCAAATGTTGATGTTTCCTTTCAACAATACCATTTTGTTGTGGGGTTTCAACACAAGAAAACCGGTGGAGAATACCTTTGGTAGAATAGAACTCGATAGTTTGAACTCTATCCCATTATCGGATCTTACTTATTTAATAGACAGGTGAAATTGAGTTTCAATGAGTGTATAAAAAGCAAGGAGTAAAGTTGCAACATTAGACTTAGACTTCATCAAATATACCCAAGTCATTCTTGTAAAATCATCCACAATTGTAAGGAAGTATTGATATTTTCCAAAAGCTAAATGTGAATAGGGCCTCCGAATATCAACATGAATCAATTCAAAAGGAGTTTGAGAAGATTGCTTGTGGAGTGGAAATGACAATCTTTTGTGTTTGGCTAATGGACAAATAACACAAGGAATTTTATTTGAATCCGAAGAACTAATGACGGAGGGACAAATTCATGTACAAACTTTAATTTATCGGAAGATACATGTCCTAGTCTAAAATGCCAAAGATCAAAACAACTATCAATACCAAGTACGAGTTAACGGATCCGTGATGTAAACAAGACACATCGAAGCAATAGGTAGTGTGAGTTCAAGATTGGTTTCGATGAAGTAAAGTCCACCCTTGACTCCAACGAAGACCAATCACTCGTCCATGAAGGAAGTGCTTGGATGAAACAACAATCATTATGAAAATCAACAACATATTTGCCGGACTTGGTAAGTCTACCGACCGAGATCAAATTAAAATGGGATGAAGGAACACACAGAGCATCATGAAGGACTAAATCAATGGATAAGAAAATAGTACCAAAGTGAGTGGCAATGGCTTTAGATCCATTTGACATGAGAACATGTGTATGATCAATGGCATGAAACGAATAATAAAATTCAAGAGAGCATATTATATGATTTGATGATATAGTATCAATTATCCAGATCGATGATTCATGAAGCATGATGATGTTTAGAAAATTTCAGTGCAATAAAAATGCTTTGAAGTATTGCTAAAAGATTTATAGCATTGTTTACTTGTCAAATTAGGGAACACGAAGTTGATTAGGTATGGTGTCCGGTTTGATGGAAGGGGATGAAGAACTAGTTTGCTTATTTTGAACATTAAGAAGAGCCAAAAGCTATTGAACCCGATGTTGAGATAAACTAGACCGAGACATTGATCCTTCGATGAGTATGAAGTCGAGTTTTGAAGATCTATGTTATCTTGTGCGGAAACGAATTAACGTAGTAGGAGTTCTTCCGAGTGATTGTAAGCCTTTAGAATATGACTGTGAATTCCCTGGATGTCCAACCCGCAAGATTCCTCGCTTCTAGTAAACTTGTTTCCATTTGAAAAACCATTCGGACTATAACACTCGTCTCTCGTATGACCATCCTTACCATAGTAAAAGCAAATAACAAGTTTCTTGAATTTATTTCTAAAATTGAATTGGGCTACCATAGCTGAAGCATCCGAGAAGGACCGAAGCTTGCACTCGCATACTCCTTTGAGATTCTTCCCTAATAACCGGATTATACACTTCATCAAGTGAGGGAAAAGGCTTCATCATGACCACATGCAATCTCAAACCACTATACAAATCATTCAATCCATTCGAAATAAAAAAATGTAGTCTTTTTACTGCAGCTTAATAAATTTCTTGAAACAATCGTTGTTACATTGCCCACACTCACAACGAGGCAGAGGTCCGAAATTTCTCAACTCTTCCCAAATCGAATTTAACTCGGTAAAATACTCATCCACACTTCGATTACCTTGATTCATAGTGGACAAAGCATGTCGAAGGTCGCATATCTTTGAATCATTGACTTGAGAAAACCTTTTCTTTAATACCGACCATATCTCCGCAATCGAGTCCATGTAGAACACCATAGCTGCAATTAGAGGAGAAATAGAATGAACCAACCAAGCAATGATCGAGTTGTGGCAACATAGCCAAGGGCCAAACAGACGAGCTATTGCTAGTTGGTGTAGCAATGTACCGTCAATAAAGCCAAATTTGTTCCGAATGAAAATAGCCAAAAGAAAGGAACAACTCCATGAAATTTAGTTATCGGAAGTCGACTCGGGAGAAACAATGATCGAGCTATGATTATTGGAGTGATGCAAAAAGAAAGGCGATCGTGGATCTTCTACTAACATGCTCAAAGAAGGATCCGCCATTGATGACTTTTGGAAACAGAAAGTACCTACGAAATACTAATATCTAAGCTCGATACCATGTTAGAATACACAAAGTGCATAGAAATTAAAAAGGAAAAACAGAGAGAGAGCGAGAGAGAATGAAAGTTAACATCAACTTTCGATAACGCGAGATCATTATCTTAACTCCTTTTCCTCACACACAAGATGCCTTTATATATAGGCTTGAGGAAGAAGGCAACATAAACAAGAAAATCATCCTAACTAAAAAGAAGAGGAAGAGAGAAACGAAAAACATGAGGAATACACCAGCTAGCATCTAACAAATTTTACTAACCAACTAAGTCACTATTATAGCCATAACGACTATATTTTTAAATGTTTTTAACACGTTATTTTCTTGCTTAATAGCTTTTATGTTTTAATTTTGTCATTAAGTTCATTTTTTTTTATCAAATTTTTTTAGACTAATGAAGTTTTTTTTAAATTGTCATTTTTTTATTCCTTGTTTTTTTTTATATCTATTTTCTTTTTCTATTCTCAACAAAAAAAAAAAAAAAAAGAAGAATAATGCAGGAATAAAATTATTAATTTAACATAAAACTCATGAAATGATTAAATTATTGATGAAATTAAAATATAAAGGATTAAATAATTAATTTTTAAAATAAAAGAGAATAATTAACTTGCATATCTAAACAAAAAGTGCTAATTTATAATTTACTCTTAAAAATAATGTATCTATTTTTTTGTTAAAAAAAAACAATTGAATTCAAGTCATTTAGCAAATCACTGAGTTATGGCTTAAAAAGTGCTAATTAATTTTTTTATAATTAACTTTCTGTTGGTAAATTTGAACCGCTTACTACCTCGGAAGCACACGCACATGGACATGGTTCCTGTTTCCGTTTTTTATCACCAACATCTTTCATGTCACCGGTCGGAAATTAAAATCTAGAAAAATGCTATGAAAAGTCGGTTAATTTCAACTATCAGGAAAAATTAGAGCTCACATTCTTTGGTTTGAGATCGGTAAATTTTAGTATGACTCTTCGGTGACTGATCCTTCTTTAGACGTCTCAAAAACAAAAAGAAGAGATTCTTGAAGCATAATCTGTAGCCATCCAAACATAGCATCCAACATGTTATGTTGGTATGCTATGAATAATTGAAGTAAGACAAGTATACTATATATGATAAATAATTAAATAAATGAATAAATAAAATTTTTTTGTTTTTATTATCCACCTTATGCAATGTATTTCTAGCATATTTATGTTCGTCACATTCATCATAAGATTCATTTGTATTATAGTAATTAAAATAAGACAATATACTATATATAATCTTTTAATTTTATGCATGTTTTCATTTTGATCATTTGAAAATTAGTTCTAAAATCTCCTTCAAAAATTTCAATAATCTTAGGATAATTTCAATATATCCTTCCAACAATTTAATTTACTTTCCGTCACTGACTTAATAGGAATATGGTAAAAAAAAATTAAATAAAAAATAAATGTAATATGAGCACAATATTTTTATCAAATAGAATAAAATTGCTTCCCTTTTTTACATATTTATTTCTAAAAAAAAGTCGATAATTTATATAAAAATCAATACGAAAATACCACCTCACTCAACGAAGGAAAGAGAAGCCAGATAGGTTGTAATTGTACAAAAAGTTTATTACATGGTTATGGTGGGGTCCGAGGTTGTTGGGTGCCTGCCAAGTGGAAGACAGCTGATTCAAACTCTTTCGCCGACTCAAACCAAGATTGTATCCTGGTATCCCCGACATTCACACGTCTAAAATATGGAAGGTTTGTTGATTAAGATTAGTCATAAAATATTACAAACTTTTCTCACTTTTTTAACCAATCCACTTTACCACTTGGATCATCTATTATTGGTAAATTACGATTTGTCGGTTCACCTAATTATTTCACTTTTAACTTTAACCATGGATTTCCCCTTCCCACTCCTCCTTTAACCGGATTGGATTCTTCTTTTTCTTTTGAACTAAAGTTGCCCAAAGTGATTCTTACAGAGATTGATAGGTTCAGTCTAGATCATCATGGTGAACTCCTGGAATCTATGCAAATGAATGTGAAGATTGCCCGTTAGACTGTTTATATATATATATATAATTTCGAGAAATGAATTAAATAGTATCTGTAATTATTATTGAATTCTTTTTTTTTTTTAATTTTTTAATGTATTATTTTTTTATTTTTTTAATTTATTTTGATTTTTTTAAAAAATAATAAAAAAGTAAAGAATATAGAATGATGAACGAGAAAAGATAAAATTCGATAAAATAAAATAATATTAAATTAAATACTATCAATGCCGATTAACTAATTACACAATCAATTTTTGAAAAAAAATTAATTAATTAGTTTTTAAAATATAAATTTACTAATTTATAGTTTACTCTAAAAATTTTGGAGGAGAAAACATCTTTTTTTTTTTTTAACTCTTGTATTGTTTCAAAAATCAATTTTGTATTACATGCACATTTAATGATAAATTTTACCTCCGTTCTATTGCGATTTGATAATTTCAAACCCACAGTATCAAATTATGTAATTTAAAGCCTAAAATATTAGAGATTGGACAAATGTGACTTAAATTGTCTAACTTTTGTTATGTGTAACCATTAACACAATTGATCGTTACTTAGAATGTCAAAATAACATCGTTTTGATATTTTGCTGTTAATTATGTTTTTTTAAATTAAAAAAATATATTTTTATCTCCCTAATCTTTAATTTTTAAAATTTTTTTTCTTTTTTAATATTATAAATATTTTATAAATTATATTAAAAAATTATAAATATTTAACACCCCCTAACTATGAACTTTTTTTTATAAAAAATTATAAACATTTTATACAAATTTTCTTTATAATTTATAAATTTAGGGGGTAAACCCTTAATTATGTTCACTTTAATTTATAATTTTTTTAAGGTCTAAAATTATGTATTGTTAATTATGTTTTTTATAATAACATTTTATAAAAAGTAGTTTAAGATTGAGGGGTTAAAAATAATTTTTTATAAGGAAATTTTTTTAAAAAAAATTTCAACATTAAAGAGGTTAAATGTATTTTTAATATATATATTTTTTTAAAAAACATAATTAATAATAAAATGTCAAAAGGACGTTATTTTAATATTTCAAGTAATAGTCAATTCAATTAATCCTTAAATATAACGTGAATTGAATATTTTGAATCATATTTGTTTAATCTTTAATATTTTAATATTCAAATTACGTAATTTGATACCATGAATTTGAAATTATAAAATATGATTTATTTGTAATTTGCAATAGAATAAAAATAAAATTTACCATTAAACCATCTTATATTTTAAGTGAATTGCATTCTTCAATAAAAAAATAAAATACAAGGTGAATTGAATTCAAATTCACTTAAGCATAAACCGATTCAATATTCAATCAATTAAATCGATAAGTGACCAACCCCACATGATCAATTTCGTCCACAGGAATAAGCAAAGCTTATCAGTTGGATGAACTGCTCCAAACTGAAGCTAATCATGACCAAAAAAATTGAACAGAAAAACATCTTTTTCAAAATCAATTTAATCTATTGCACTTAAATTGGCTGAAATACGGGGAAAAAAATAAATTGGTGCATCAATTTTCAAAGGATATATTGGTAAGCTTCTTGAAGTTGAAAATAAAGATTGTATTCTTTCGCAAGTTCAAAACCCCGTGGGACTCAACTTGTCTTCATCGGATCAATAGTACGTTGTGTCTTGCTTTAATCATTTTTTACCAAGAAGTTTAGAACCAAAGCATGGTTTAAAGTCTGAACTCGTGGCAGCAACTTAAAGGCATTTAAAAAGTAGTTGGTCTTCATTGATCAAGACAAAGAAAAAAGCATCGTTATCTATTTTTTGAAAGCAAACAAAACGAGGGTGCTAAGAAGATGACTTTGGAAGTAATGATATCATAACTAAATTATACATTAGTCATTTTAGTTTTAAAAGTGAATTAATTAGTCTCTTTTGTTTTAAAACTAATTATTTAATCTCTTAACCAGTATTAATCATATTTAATTCGATATTATTTTATTTTTTTAAAAATATTTTCTTTATATATATATATATAAGTTGAAAAAAAATAAGAGCGAGCATTATTCGATTTAAATTGAAAACGAAAATAAAATATCAATTATTGCTCACTTTTGAACTCTAAAATTAAATAAAAAATGAATCATTTTTTTTTCTAGTTCAATTTAATTTTTTAAACTTTTGGTTTGGTTTAAACAAAAAAAGTACTTTTTTTAAAATTAATTTTTTTATATTTTTTCTACCTTTAAAAGAATATAAATAAATTAAAAAATCAATACTTTAGTATTATTATTGATATATGATGGATTGATGATTTTTTATATATATATTTACATTATTTTTAAAAATTCAGAAAAATAAAAAAAATGGTTTAAATAGAACACAAAAAAATAGTTATTTGATTTGACTTTCTTTTTTTTTTTTTTTTTTGGGTAGGTTTGGTTAGCTAAAAAAAAAAGAACAAAAAAACCAAATGATGGAGGACTAATTTATAATTTACTCTGATAGAAGGGCTAATGGATTCTTTTCTAAAAATAAAAGGACTAATTTATAATTTGCTCCGATATGGTAGAACAGCTGGCATAAACTGTGTGTATTGAAATCACTTTCAGCCATTTCTTGAGAAACTAACCATAAAAAATTCATAGCAGCCGGGACACGCACGCCCTTAAAATCTCACTTTCTGCAAAAGATGACCAAACGCTTGGCCAAAGACTAGCTAGCTAGCAATGATAGCAAGTTGCCATCCGTTATGATGGAGCTTTTTTCTTGAATCAATAAATGCAAAGAAAGCAACGAATCAGAAGAAGGAAGAAGTAGTCTGCCTTCCTGGCTGGCTATGGTGGGCTGCTAGCTATTTTGCATGTAAAAATTCTTACAAAACTATTTATTCAACATGGTCCCCCTTCCTCTCCCTCCCACTTTTCCTTGTTCTATGCAATGCAGCCCATCCCAGCCTCTCCTTTATTTTTGTCGCATTCTTTTTGTACTTTATTTTCTAGGAGAATAATTGACGAAGAAGATTGAAAAATGAAGCAACAGGACTTTCTTGGCAAACTGCTATCCTGCCAAAAATAAAAAAAAGGTATGTATCATGGAATTCTGCTTTTTCCAGCGAATTGAGAGCCATTTATCTACTCATCTAGTAATTTAGTACGATGTCTTTCGATAACTGATTTTGTTTTGATTTTTTTTTCCTCAAAACTATTTTAGGAAAAAATAATATTAAAGAAAGAGAAACAATGAATGATGCATCCATCATAAAATCTCAAATGAAAAATTGAAATATATATATATATATATGAAAGGATTTTTTTTCAAAACAATAATGCATTGAGATTTTTTTTGCTGACGATCAAAGTTTGACCGTCAATTTTAACGGTTTAATATGACGAGAAGATATAGTTTGTTAAAGAAAAAATAGTTTAACGAAAAAATAGATCAAATTGATGGTTTAGACTTTATTTTCTCACAATTCTAATATTTTAGGGGTAAAATATGCCACTAAACCTTCTGTAATTAGTCAAATTTAGAGAATTAATTAGTTTATTTTAATAGATTACAGTGTTTTATTTTCGTAAAGTCTAAGATAAAATTTCTGCATCTGTCACCAACTCACCATCCTCACATTGGATGTGTCTAAGGAGACATGGATTTTGGGCCTATAAGAAAATGATGGTCGACCATGTTATATGTCTTTCATGGACAGTATGAATTAACCCAATGGGCCCAAAACCACAATAATTAACATTATAGCCACATTTACATGTGTGTGCAAGCTAAACAAATTTAAACTTCTTCTTTTTTTTTTTTTTTCAGTCATGAAATTTTTAAAAAATTTTAACATAAGAACAAATGACTGATTTCATTGCTAAACTAAACCAGCCCAAGTCCATTTTTTTCTCAAACTCTCTAAATTGTCCATTCCATTGGTCAATTTATCCTCGGCATAAAAAAAGAAGAAAATAATATCATAATTATTGATAAAATGTTAAATTTAACTTTACTGATATAACGATATTGTATTTTAACCGCAAGGAGTGGCTAGTAGTAGGAGCTTTGAACTTGTAATTTTTTAGGTCTAAGGTTCAGATCTGATAAAAACTTTTGAGGTTTAAGGTTCAAATCTCACTTCCTATGTATTTTTGTATTCACCATAAAACTTATATTTATTTTCTAATTCCAAGAATGTAGAGAATTTGAAACTTTCAACTTTAAAACCAATACCTACTCACCAAAAGTGGCCGAAGAATAATCAGTTTTCGGATTACCATAAAAATAATCTCATATTTTTCAAAAAATGTATTCTACTTCACTTAAAACTTAAAATATTTGTTTTTAATTTTATGGGTAAAACGGCCCATGGATTTTTTTGGTATATTTTTATCACAAAAATTCGGTTTAATTCTCCTTCACGCAATGTTTGAGAATGTTTTATTAGTTAAAATTTTTTATATACAACTCTACTCTTGAGTTTGTACCAGTTTCTCCATTCTATTTTTACTTATTTTAATGTCTTTTATCAATAGTTAAAAATTTCTACTATTGGTTAAAAATTTCTATACATACGTCTACTCTTGGTTAAAAATACATTTGTACACAAAAGTTAACATTTTAGGTAAATTATTGATTGATTAACTGAAATTATGGCTTTTGACCAAATAAAAATTCAATCAAGATGAATTTAAAAGTCGAAAGAGGATATTAAAATAAACAAAGGTAGAGTAGAGAAATTAATAAATAATTAATATTAGAAAATACATAGTGTTATAAAATAAATAGAAATAATAGAAGAATTGAAAGAAAAGATGACAAGAAAATGAAATCACTATATTGTGAATACAAGTGATAAGAACTTCAAAGTTTCTCTTATTCTCTTTAGAAAACTTATACACCAACTAATAAACAATCAAGCCTATTTATAGGCTTCAAATTTGAGAAGAGAATTGGAAGAGATTATGGATAATCAATTGCATCACCTTTTAATTTCACATATTGAATGATGAATTGAATTATATTAAGAATCATAAGTAGTGGGGATATGAAAAGTAGATAAACATGATGATGGACATTCATTATTTCATAACACTCCCTCTTGAATATCCATTGTACAAGGAATATGCCTCGTTAAAACCTTATTAAGAAAAAAACCCGATGGAAAAAAAATCCTAACGAAGGAAAAGAGTACAATATTTCTTGTACACATTAATCTCAATGTTGGCTTGCCCTCGTTGAAAATATCATTTGAGATCTATAAGACGATGTATTTCAATCTTGTGAATCATCTTCTCAAAAATTGTGGTAGGTAATGCTTTAACGAGCAAATCTGTTGAATTGTCACTTTGATGTATTTTTCCTCCAATAGAATTATGCAAGCAGCATTATCCTCATATGATATTGTTGAAACTTCTTTTACCGATACATAAACTGCATGTCCCTTGGATATGATGGATTGTTGATCTTAGCCAAACACATTCTCGACTTGGCTTGTGAATTGATATTTTGCATGATTTGAAGATGTGGCAGCTATAGTTTGCTTCATAGAACTCTAAGATATAGCTGCATCTCCATATGTAAATATATAATTAGTTATGATCGAGATTTGTGTAGATCGGATAAATAACTTGCATCCGCATAACTAATTAATCTTGTCTTTGATTTATTGGAGTAATATAAGCCCATATCAATTATTCATCAAAGATAACGTAGTATATATTTAATCTTTATTTCAATATCTCCGTATTGAAACAAAACTATAACTTACTAATAAATTTATAGAAAAGACCATATCGAGTCGAGTATTATTAACAAGATATATCAATGCATCGGTGACACTAAGATATGATACTTCGGGACCAAATAGTTCTTCGTTATCTTCACGAGGTCGAAAAGCATCTTTTTGGATATCAAATAAATGAACTTCCATTGTGCTTGTCAATAAATGGTTTTTATATAGAATCATTGTAGAACTTTTTTCTATACAAATTGATTGATGAATAAAAATCTCATTCTCCTAGTGCTTGAACCGAAGGTCGAGATAACATTTTATTTTCCCAAGGTATTCACATCAAATTCTCTTTTTAGATAACTTATGACACTTGAAATCTCTTTAGGAGTTCCAATAATATTTAAGTTATCAAGCATATACAACAAACCCCTTTTCAAACAAAAATATATGAACAAATAAGGTTATTTTTTTCATAACTTTCTTTCAATAATCATTAAAGTGATTAAATCATATGCACACGGGTTAATAATAAACAATATATATAAAAATAAAATATAAAAAAGTATAATATAAATTAAATTTCTAAAAACTAAAATAATAAAACAAATACTAATAATCCTAATAGAGATCTCTATAATTTAATTGAATTCTTTTCTCGAGAATATGTATTACATGCTTATGGCATGTTAAGTTCTTCTCGGGACTTTTATATTAATATCATTTCAAATGAACAAATAAATTGTTATCACATTCATTAAATGCATGTATATGATTTTTTCATATATTTTATCAGAGCTAATGAGATAATAAAATATAATTGCATCCATTATATGAGAATATTTCTCATCATAGTCAATGTCGGTTCTTTGCAAAAACTCTTGTATTACAAGTCTTACTTTGTATCTCATAATCTTATCTTTCTTATTTTTTTTCGTAAAAATACTCATTTAAATCCCATTACCTTAATATCTTCATGTGTTTTAGCTATGAGTTCAAAAAACTACTCTTTTATAAGAAAACACAATTCTACCTAGATTGCTCTTTTCATTTAGACCAATCATCTTTATTTTGACATTCTTCAATAAATTTTGACTCGGGATCCTTATTTTCATTTAAAATATCAATTGTAATATTACATGCAAAAATCTTATCAATAAATATTTCTTTTCGGTCATATTTTCTCTATGTATTGACATAACTTATCAAAATCTCTTGATTTTTCTCAAGCATTTAGACTTCTTCTGAAGCCTATTATCATAAATATTTTAGACCGTTTTGTGAATATTTACATCCTTTATATTTTCATCTTGCCCTTTTTTTTAGGGATTTTTATCTTTAAAACCGATCAATCTTCCATGCTTCGGACGTGCTTTAGATTAATTGGCTATAACATTAATAGATTGGCCTTCTTAGGCATCAATTCTAATAGGAGCATTCTCGACGGGGACATGCATTATAGTTACTCATTTAGGATCCGCATCTAGCAGTTGGTTTGTAATACCTTGTAAATGAATTATCTTTTGAACTTTTAGCTCACATTGTTTTGTACTAAATTGATATAAAGATAGAGTACTCCATATAATTTTTTTTTCTCAATATTTTCAACTCGTTTATTTTGCTTATTCTCTCTTTCTAATGTTGAAAAAACTATTTCATCAAAATGACGAGTCGATAAATCGAGTCCGTAAAAATACCTCTTATTTATGAATTAAGAGATCGAAGAGGATTCAAATCCAACATACATTTCCAATCTCCTTTAAGTGCTCATTTTATTTCGTTATGGAGGAGTACTATGGATATATACTGAAATGCTAAAAATTCTTAAATAAAAAATATTTGACTATGACCATAAATTAATTAAATATGAGAGAATTTCGATAACTTATGGGTCTTATGCGAATAAGTGTTGCTGCATGTAAGATTGTAGGTCCCCCAACATAAACAGAGAGTTTTATTTTTAAATAATGGTTTAGCTATCAATTGGACCTTTTTGATAAATAATTTTGCTAAACCTTTCTAAATATGAACATGAGCAACGAGATGTTCAACCTTTATTGTAATAGCCACTCAATAATAATTTAATGCTTGAGAAATAAATTCATCGAGCATTATCAAGGTGACTTGTTTTAATGGCATAATCTAAAAATTATACTCGAAATCAAATTATTTGCTAACAATCTCAAAAACGTCGAGTTTCAAGTAGATAATAAGCACATATATGACCATCTTGTGGATGCATTTATTAAAATCGTAAAATATTTAAATAGTTCACATTGTGGATGAATTGATCCATATATATTACCTTAAATACATTCTAAAAATATTGGAGATTCAATCTCAATTTTACTTGGTGATGGCTTAATCATCAATTTATCTTGACAACATGCGGAACATGAAAATTCATTAAATTGAAGAATTTTCCGGCTCTTCAATAGATATTCATATGAATTTTTAATAGTTTTTCGCATCATGAAAGACCCGGGATAACGGAACTGGTCATGTCACATAATAAATGTATTTGAATTAGTAAACTTCTAGTTTACTATAGCATTTATTTCAATTAATCCAATATTTGTAATAAAGACTAGAAGAGAAAGCGGGTAAATTTTTCAATACATATTTTCTACTTGGCATAATGATTGTAATATATAAGTATTCATATTTGTTATCTTGATATGATATCAATTTAGATGAATATTTTTGAAACTCATTAAATTTTTAATAGACTTTGAAGAGAATAGTACATCATTTATAATAAATTTATCCTTTCGGATAATAATATATTTACTCTTCTGGAGCCTTTAAATTATGTTACTTCAAGTAATAATATATCGACTCTTCTAGAGTCTTTAAAAGTTATCTCTTCAAGTAATAATATATCCACTCTTCTAGAGGTTCAAAAATTTATCTCTTCGAGTCATAATATAATCGCTCTTCTAAAGCCTTCAAAGTTTATCTTTTTAGATAATAGTATAGTCGCTTTTCTACACCTTTCTATTATATTGATATTATCATATATAATATTAACATAAAATAAATAATCAAATAAATCGATATAAAATAAATAAATAAATATATTCCTCATAAACATAAACAAATAAATAAATTTGTAACCATCATTATACGATATAAATTATAAGAAATATAAAATATTTTATTTATAAATAGAAAAACCAACAAGTAATTAATTTCAATTACTATTATTTTGATATATAAAAGTGACCTACATATTTTACTCTTTATTTTTCAATAAGGCTTGACAAGGCTCAATGAGGTGCTTTGGTGTACGACATGTACACGACTAATATTTATTCATTCCACATCTATAATATTTATTTTGAAGAATGCCGACTTTATCTATTTTTATTCTTTTTTTTCATAGTTATCCACTTCGGTGGTAAGATGTAATATTATGATCATCACAATTATAATGATAATTATTTTGACCACATGCATGGCTATGAATACATCTTCATCCATGCCTAAAATTATTATAAATTGTCGCATTCACTTTAGGGAATGAAATAGATCCAATTGGACAAGATTTATTCTTTTTCATCAATAGCTTTTCATGTTATTTATCCATGAATAAGTATGAAATTGATTTCAAATATTTCTTAAACTCTTCTTCTTGATATGCTACTGCATGAGCATATTCAAAATATGAAAAGTAGATGATATTAACTTAGCATCACTCATGATCAATAATTCTTGCCCAAAATATCAAGGGCCCCAAAATCAAGTTTTGTGATGGTTGATATCATTAAAATTATATATTGCAAAGTAGAATAAGAATATTAGAAAATAAAGATAAAATTTAATAATAAAATTTAGATTTTTCAAACAATATGTATTAGATCATTAGATTTTATATATTAAATCATTCAAGTTTTTCAAATGTATATTCTATATATCATTATATTTAAAGTACATGATAAATTAGATACATACCTCTTAATGATCTAAATAATTTAGATCTTTTGGTAGAGCACTTGTATAGAAGAAATCCAATGGTTGAAATAATTGATTAAGTGTTTTGGTAGATATATACCTCATGGTCTATTGTCTCAATTGGTTAGAACTTCATGCCGATGACATGTTATAAAATAAATAGAAATAATAGAAGAATTAAGAAAAAGGATGACAAGAAAATGAAATCACTATAATGTGAATACAAGTGATAAGAACTTCAAAGTTTCTCTTATTCTCTTTAGAAAACTTGTACACCAACTAATAAACAATCACGCCTATTTATAGGCTTCAAATTTGAAAAGAGAATTGGAAGGGACTATGAATAATCAATTGTATCACCCTTTCAATTTTTCATATGGAATGTAATATTTGTAAGAAAATGTGGCATAATTAATTAAAGTGGGTTTGAGAAATTAATCTTTGTCAAGGTACGAGATCATTGATCTTATCAAAATTTAAAGTCAACCTATATGAACGACCACCTATAAAGTGGAACATTCTCCTTTACCGAACATGCTCCTTGACCATTAAAATAGAGGGTGTTATATATATATATATATATATATAATACTAAAAATATTATATTAGTCTTAAGATTTTTAATTGCATTTCATTTATCACTCGTAAAATTTTAAAATATTCTATCCGTCTTTTCAATCAAAATTTTCAACTATGTAAAATATTTTTAACTCGAAATGCTCTTTGGTAGAATGACAAAAAAAATACTTAAAGTTACATGACTCGTATGTTTCATTTTTAAAATCCTTAGAATTATTTTTTTTATTTTTGCATTTCAATCGAAGTATTTCGATAAAAAAAATTATTTTCTCAAAAAAATTAATCAAAATAATAGATTAAACATTTCAAATACTTTAAAAGATAAATGAGATGCAACTAGAAACCTAAAAACATGTGAAAAACTTTGTTATTTACAAATATTCAACTACTAATTGACTGAAAAATTCTACGGGGATGTGGGGAAAAATGACATTTCGAGTGAAAATAACACCCCGTGGAATTTGTTACTCCGATGATAGTTCTCTAGCTTTACCGGGGAAATATCGAGAGTCATTGTACTCGATAGTACTGGGGTATGCATACAAGAAAGTTCTTCTTTTTTTTTCTCTCTTTACAATGCGAGAGAAAAAGAAATGTCATTGACACTTTCTTGTATTTCATTATACTTCAATTGACATGCATGTTTAAGATGTCTTATTTTGTGTAGTCATGAGATAGTTGGAATTGTACAAGAAGGTCGATCCGATGTTCATTGCTTCAAAATTGGCGACCATGTTGGAGTGGGAACATATGTGAATTCATGTAGGGATTGTGATTATTGTAATGATGGGTTTGAAGTGCGTTGTGCAAGTGGACTTGTTTTCACCTTCAATAGTATTGATGTCGACGGCAACGTCACGAGGATACTCCGGTTTCATTGTTGTTCATTAAAGGCTTACATGCCTAAATCTAGACTTTAGATTCATAATCCGTGAAGCACTCGATACGTAAATAGCTCGTATTGGTTCTTTAGCCGATACTACTACGGAATTCCCGATAGCTATCCACTAGTTTTAGCACCAACATTATTGTGCATTGGAATAATAGCCTACGCTCCAATGATTCGTCATAAGATGAACCAAACAAGAAAACCCCTTGGCATGATTGGACTAAGCGGCCTTGGTCACATATCTATGAAGTTTGGAAAGGCTCTTGGACCGAATGTCACGAGTTTTCAGCATAAGCATTTAAAAGAAGGAAGAAGCCTTGAATCAACTTGGAGTAGAAGAATTTGTAGTCTCATCCGACATGGAGCAAATGAAGGTAAGCGATCCAATAAGTTTTCTTGTACGGAGGATCGTCATGTGATAGTAGATTATTGGTTCTTATTTGCGAGTGCTCGGATAAATCCTTGGACTTCATTATAGACACGGCATCGAGTGAGCATCCATTTGATCCTTACATTGCAACTTTGAAGACTACTAGAGTCCTAATCTTGGTGGGCGCTCTAAGTGAAATCAAGCTCGATCCTCTAAGGCTTCTTCTTGGTAATGTGATTTAAATGTGAAAAAGGGAAATACAAAGAAGTTTAATTGTCGAATTCTGATTTTAATAACCTAGAATTACATTTTGCTCGATCATTGCAGGTATGATAACCATTTTTGAAAGTACAACAAGTGGTACAAAGTATACACAAGAAATGCTTGGATTTTTACGGCATTCACAAAATCTAACCTAAAGTAGAAATACTAACAATTCGATCCGTGAATGAAGTGAAAGAGCTATTGATTCTCTATATTCACCTATGTATAAAACGACATTACAAGTATATATATACATGTTGCCATAAGCTATAGATAAGCTCGCGTTGTTGTAGTGTTCTAAGGAAACTAACAATGTAGAGATATAGATAAGCTTTGCGGTAGAGTTCTAGTTATACAAGAATGCTCACTATAATTCCTATAGGACTCTAGGTAGTTATCCTTATCACCCTCTCGCAAGTGGCGCGAGAGCTTGTAGAATGCACAACTTAGATAAAAAATATTGAAATAAAGTCCGTGATAATGGCTTCGTTAAGAGATCCGTAATTTGTTCAGCGAGTAGGTAAGTAACGGACTTGCAGCAGAACCCCTACGTACTTTATCATGTACAAAGTAAAAATCAATCTCCAAATGTTTAGAGCAAGAATGAAAGATAGGCGTAGTAGTAAGATAAGTTGCAGAGACATTATCACATCACACTATTGAGGGCGTGGGACATAATAGACCGATCTCCTTGAGTAATGATTCTATCCGAGTTTACTTTTGCATAAGTGGTGGCTAATGCACGGTATTCGACTTAATAGAGGACCGTGCAACTATATGTTGCTTCATAGAATGCCAAAAAATTAGGCTTTTGCCTAAGTAGATGGCATAAACATGTGTTCTTCCTATCATTCACATCACCACCCCAATCTAAGTCCGTATAAGTATTGATGGAGAAATCGAAGACCTCTACAAGAACAGGCCATGATCCTTAGTGGCTTATAGGTAACGTAATATTCTTTTGACGGCTATCCAATGAGTTTACGTAGGAGCATGCATATATTGAGCTACCTTGTTCATTGAATAAGCCAAGTCCGGTCTAGTAATGCCAAGGTACTAAAGCCTACCTACAATACTTTTGTAGAGAGAAGGATAAAAATGGGTTGTTTCATCCTTGGTAGTGAGCTTGATGTTCGAACAAGCTCGGTGTAGGAATACCTTTAGAGTCATACATTTTAGCTCATAACGAATAAATCGATAGTAGAGTCATACATTTTAGCCCATAGCAATAAATCGGTAGCATACTTACACTGATTAAGAAGAAGACCATCTAACCTCCGATGAGCCTCTATGCCAAGAAAGTAATAAAGAGGACCAACATGTTTCACGACGAAAGGTTGTTTGTAACGCGACAATAGTGGTCGAGATGACGAACGATTGCTCCTCGTGATCGATATGTCATCAACATATATTAAGCAAAATGTGATGTCTTTGCCCAAGAGCTTGAAGAACATAGAGATGTCCGTTTGTGAGCTTTGAAAACCTAAGGATATCGATTGATCCGTGAGGCATTTGAACCACTCGTCGCAGGGCTTGTTTTAATCCATACAAGGATTTCTTCAACTTGTAAACATATAAGGGACGTGTAGCATCAATAAAGCCCTATGTTTGTGTCATATAGACATCTTCTTCCAAAGGATCATAAAGAAAAGCATTGGAAACAAGCAATTGCTGAATTGGGCAACTACGTGAAACGACCAAAGAAAGAATTAGACGCGAGCTACCGGTTTGATGATTGGGTCAGTAGGTGTCATTAAAAGCAATCCCAAGCCTTTGATTGAATCCCTTAGCTACTAATTTAGCCTTAAACGGTCTATGGAACCATCCAATTTGGTCTTGATCTTATAAACCTACTTGTTGCTAATAACATTATACGAAGGTCGCCTTGGAACAAGCTCCCATGTCCGATTGTTTATCAAAGCTTGAACCTCTTCCGTAATACCAGTCTTCCATTGCTATTGAGATTGAGCTTAGAAGTAGCTTTGTGGTTCTTTATTAGCGTGGGTAGCCGAGATTGTGCGAGGGTTTAAGTGGCCGGTTTTCCCATGAGTAAGCATCCCATGTGATGGGGTTACTACCTGGTTTGGGGTTGACTCGGTGCTACTACCGGTTTGGGGGCCGACACTACTCGTCAAGTTTGGGTTTGCTTGGTAGGAAGGTTGTAATCGGTTCGAGTGGAGTATCGTTGGTCGAGTGGAGGTATGGAATATAAGTCGAGATCAATCATAAGGGAGATGGGTTCGGTAGGGTGTGGGCTGTCATGACTTATGGGTGACGAGTCGGTATGTCTTCGAGGGCCATGTTTTGTGGTCGGTGGCGTTGGGGTATATGAGGGAGGTACCGGTTGGCATGGTGTACTTGCTAGGGGGTTGTGTTTGTGCATGTTTGGGTTTAGGGGCCGATCGTAATGGAGGATGTTTGTGAGAGTTTGTGGGCATAATACTTGGAGATGGTAACGGTAGTAGAGCCGATTCTTATGGATTGTAGAGCCGAAGAAGTCATCAATGATGAAGCAAAGGAAAAAACCTATTCATCAAACAAGATATGGCGTGAGATATGCATTTTTCGTGTAGATAAATCAAAGCATAAATAACTTTTAAAAACTTTGTCGTAACCAAAAAATACACTAGCGAGAAGATTTTGGGGCTAATTTATGAGGAGCATAAGGGCATAGCCATGGGTAACATAAACAACCAAACACTTTTAATTCATCAAGAGGAGTAGTACCAAAAAGGGTAGAGTAGGGGGAGTTTTTGTGTAGTGTAGGAGTGGGAGATGATTGATTATGTAAATTACAACATCAAATGAATAAGTTCAATACTTTAAGGGAACGGATGAATGGTGTAGGAGTGCTAAGCCTCGTTTTGACTATGTGACAATGTTTACGCTTAGCACATCTATTTTGTTCTAGGATTTTGGGATAGACACTTCTTTGAGAAATTTCATTATCATTTAAGTATTTGGTTAAGGCTTGACACTCTCCTCCCCAATTAGATTAAAATTGCTTAATTGATTTGTCAAAAAACTTCTCTATAGTATGCTTAAACTTGATAAAACAATTGAGTACCTCCGATTTATACCTAAGAAAAAAATAACCAACTATACTTGTTGTAATGATAATAAAAGAGGACATAATAAGAATAACTATCCACGAAGGGGTAGGGGATGGTCCCCAAATATCCAAACAAATTAATTCCGGAGGTGCTTTGGCTTTATAACTAGACAAAGGAAAAGGTGATTTGTGAATTTTACTAAGCGAACATGCTTGAATAATGAAGGTTCCGTAGGCAAAGATGCTACAAATTTAATATTATGCAAAGCTTGTTTGATTGTCTTGAGAGAGGCATGCCCAAGGCGAGCATGCCACGTTGCCAAAGTGGTATGATGAGCTTTGACGGAGAATGGGCATGCCCATGGATGCTGCATAGAAAGAGTGTAGAGCCCGTTGTTAATTAGCCCATCATGGAGAATTTACTCGTGAATCCAAGTCCTTTACGAGAAATTTGTTAGGGAAAAACTCAATAGAACAAGAATTATTTTTTGTAAAACTACTGGCTGAAGAAAGATTTTGAGTACTACTAGGAACATGTAAGACATCATTAAGGTGAAAAGCACGATTATGAAGTTGGAAGGAAGAAAATCCAACATGAGAGATAGGAACGGGTTTACCATTGGTTAAATGCGCTTATTTGGGGCTGGTATATTCATTAGGAATCCCAAGGTTTTTCAATTGAGCTGTCATGTGATGAGTTGCATCCGTGTCTATAATCCATTCGTTATTTGGTGGTGTTGACACAACAAGGTTGGACAATGGTTTAGGAGGATGGTTTGTTGAACGTGATCGAAGGGAGGGACACACATTAGCTAGGTGACCTGTTCCATTGCAGTTATAGCATATAACGATAGTAGCATCTGTCAAAGGGGCATTCTACCCTTATCACCAGTTTGTTTGAGGAGAGCGAGCACCTCGTCTTCCTCTACCACAACCATAAGAGTGGCGTTGGGCATAATGGACTAAAATAGGTGATTCTGTGGGCTGAATCGATTCTTGCAGTTAGAGTTCTTCACTAAGAGCAAGACCATAAAGGGTCTCACAGGTGATAGCTTCATGCCGAGACTTAATAGCTCGCACAAATGGGCGATAAGTTATGCTAAAGCCACGCAACAAGGCTTGTACCAAGTCTTCTTCTGGAACAGCTGAACCAAGAGACTGAAGAGTATCATAGATGCTTTTCCCTTACTGAAAGTATTGAGGGACTAATACTTGTGGCCTTTGAGTTAGACGATATAAGCTTCCTTTGAGGTGATTAACCTGTGTTCGTGTACCAGAACCACAGGCTGTAGAGAGCTTCAACCGTGCTTCTTGGGCAGTATGGGCGCCCACAACAATTGGAAGGACAACTTTTGTCAAGGAACTAATTATCAAAGTGAGCACAAGTTGGTCATTGCGTTCCCAAGTGAGGTATGCGGGATTGGGGTCAGTGTGATTGATGGTGGCAGCTGGAGTTGCATGGGTACCATCAATATGATGCATCAATCCATGGCAACGAAGAAGGGGATGAAGTTGCATTTTCCAGAGAATGAAGTTTGTTGGGTTGAGTTTTAGTAGGAAAAGTGTGTTTAGGTTAGGAAGGGAATGGTGAGTTTCAGGGTTGGATGGGCCTGCCACGGTGAGGCTGGCAGCTTAGGGAGTTCCAGGTCCAGAAGTTTCAGACATGGTGGAAAGTGGAGCTGGAGGAGTGGGGAGTAGGTTATGGTTGGAGGGAACTCGGTTTTTAAACCTTTGAGTATGGATGAAAACTGATCCCAAACGAAACTTTGATAAGGATGCAGAGTGCTTTCTGGAGTGCGGGCTGGCTCGCAGAAAACACTGTAGCTGATATGCAGATGTGGGTGAGCGGGAGGGTTGGCACGCCGATTACTGTAGCTGATACGCAGAGACGTGCAGGCTGGCACGCAGATTACTGTAGCTGGTATGCAGATGTGGGGGCTGATTGGTGCGTGAGGCAGGTGGGTCAGGAAAAAAAGATTTTGGACGGTTAAGTAACTTAGACTTTGATACCATGAAAGAGCTATTGATTCTCTATATTCACCTATGTATAAAACGAGATTATAAGTATATATATATACACGCTGCCATTAGCTATAGATAACCTCTTCACTATTGTAGTGTTCTAAGGAAACTAACAATGCAAAGATATAGATAGATACGCTCTGCATCAAAGTTCTAGTTATACAAGAATGCTCACTATAATTACTATAGGACTCTAGGTAGTTATCCTTATCATGAAGCACTTGAGAGGATGACAAAGAATGATGTCAAGTACCGATTTATGATCAACATTGAAAACTCCCTCAAGCGACATAGAGGACTACCAAGGAATGGTGGCAGCAATCAATTAAATATTCTTCAGAATTCAGTTATAATGCTAAAAAAATGAAAATCTGGTTCGTCTTGTTTTGAAGATTTAATGATTCAAAATAACCAATGTCCCTAAATTATATGTAAAGTTCGTACAATAAATTTGGCTAAATCAACCATGGTGTTTTCAATTTTGGTCAACATATATAAACCTTTTTCATCCAATATCCTTTACATGATCATTTTAACTATTGTAATTATGTCATGTGGTGTGTATATATATTGAAAATTACCTTAAAAAATAAACAAACAAGTTGAATATATTACATGTGAAAACCTTTTAATATACTAAATAACTAGTTAGACTGAAAAACATCACTATATAATACTCAATTAGTCTTTACATAATACTCAATTAGTATCTGACCATGCTACGAAAACCTTGCAAAATTATATGCTGATCAATCTCGAGTCAAATCTTAATTAATTATGTGGCTCAAATATGAGAATTTTGCCTCTTAATGATGTGAAAAGTTGAATCACGGATCCGTATTTTTGCTTCTTTTTTTTTTTTTGTCATTTTTTATTACTCTAGTCATCATTTCACACTTTATCCTAAAACGTATAAATTGATGGGTTTATTTAATTTCATAAGAATTTATTTTCTCTTCAAATAACTCGAAAAAAAAATAATTACTTTCGATCAAAACACAAACGAGCTGAGACTGCTAATCACCATCAAGGGGAAAAAAAGAAGAAGTCCAACTGCCGTTTTCCTTGTTATACATCTTAAATCATTAAATTCAAATTCACTCGAATCTTTTAAGTTTTAATTTATTGCTAAATAATTCAAACCTCTTTTTTTTTTTTTGGCACTTTGAATCATTTGAGAATAATCTTTTAACTTTTAATTTCGAGTTTAATTTATCTTTAGCTATTTTTTCATTTAAAATCAAATACTTTTTTTTTAAGGTTTTCATCAACTCTAGGTTTTAAATGATGATTAAAAAAAAAGCTAATTAAAACGCCTTAAATGATTCAAGATGTCACTACCCCACATTTTGGGGATTTTCAAAATTTATTACTGAAAAATTGTTTATTGGAGATGTGAGTTATTATTAGTTTTGAAATTTTCATCTAATATTAAAAAAAACTACGAAAATAAAAAATAACATTGGTTTAGAAATTCTAAAATAAGAAGTTGATTATACATTTAGAAGGATATCAATTACCCAAAAGTATCATTTCCGAAGAAAGATACCATATTCGACTTAGTTCTTAAAATTTATCTTTTAAAAAATTTCTATTATTGCCAAAATTCATTCTAAGTCAAATTTCAAGTTTATTATATAAGCGTATTGATTTTTTTATTTTTATTTGTGACATAATATTAAATCAATCATCGGACTACGAAGTTGAAATTCTCGTCAATTCAACATTGAATCCGATTTAAGTCTCAACATAATCGATATATTAGAGAATGTCCTAAGTACTAAGGTAATCGATTGAAAACAAGTGATAACATGAGTCCTTATTTAATATGAGATTTGTCAAAATTATCCTAGTATTTATGCATCTTTGTTTTCTTTTTTTCTTTTTTTAATTGTTTTTCATGTCTATTATATGTTTTTCTTTCATTTTTTATTCTTTTTAAGTTGATGAAGAATCGTCACCAGTCCTTAAAAATTAAGAGACTTGATGATTCATCTACTCATTAATTACATAATTTAATTAATGGTTATTCAAGCCGTATTAAATATTAGAATAAAATATGAAAACTAAATTAATAGTCCCTACGCATATGGGAGTCTAAAATCTAAATATATAGTTTTCAGATTTAATTAATACTCAATATTAAACTAGATATAAAATTTAATTACCAAAAAAAAAAAAAAAGACTAATCATTATACTACATAAATTGAAATAAATGAGTAAAAGAGTTCAATAATTCCAAAAAAAAAATTAAATCTATATTAGATATGAAAGTAAGAAGCATGTATGAAAATTTCAACTTTAATTTACTTAGAAAAATAGCTAAAAAACAATTTTTTTTAAAAAAAGATTATTGGGCCTTTAAGCCCAGTGGACTTTCGGCCCACTAGTTAGGCCTACTTCCTTCCCCTCTTGGACTTGGGCTGGGTAAGCTCAACCCACTCTCCTTACCGCTGGGCTAAGCCTAGCCAATTCCTCTCTCTACCTTCTTGCCTTCCTCTAAAAACTCCAATTCAAATCCTATTTATACCCAAAAGCCTCCTTATAAAGGCAACCAGTTCAATATTTCTACAGGGTTTGGCTGGCTTTATCCCTCTGGCTTTGTCAGTTTTGGCTCTGTATGAGCAGAGCCAAAACCTGTCGCTTGTGTATTTTGTGTGTGCAGGTTTTGCAGGCTTGGCTGGTTTGGTCCTTCTTGCCTGTTGTCTTCGTTGATGAAGATGAACAGTGCCAGAGGATGGGGAGATACAGGACGGGCGTGCCATGAGATAAAGGAAAGACTCGAACGATAGGTCGTTCTCATTGATTCCGAATTGGTCTTGTTGTTCATGTCATTTGTCAATCTAGGTCCTTGTAGGTTTTTATTTTTTCAATTGTATCAATTAAGCGTGTTATTATAGTGCCTAGTACTTTTAAGTTTTTCAATTAAGTCACTGTATCTTTCAATTTTAGTTTTAAGATTTTGAATTATTTCAATTATGTCCGTAATTGATTTCAATTGCATTTCAATTTCACTCTTGAACTAAAATCAAAATAAAACTAAATAAAAGTATAAAATAAAATAAAAATGGAAAAAATTACAAGGTGATAAAAAAAATAAGACAAGTTAAATGATGAAAATAAATAAAAATAAAAGATCGGTTAAAATTTTAGATTTTTTTCTTTTTTCTTTTCCTTACAAAATAAAATGTAAATTCTAAAATTAAGCATACAATCTAACGATAAAACTGCAATCCAATTTACAGCTTTTTTAATAATTCATGAAAGCATTCGTATTTTTTACTATGAGTGATAAAATTGCACTGAGGATGAGTACATCCAAGGGCCAAGTCATCACAAGGCTCACCACAAGAATGGCATGCAGGATAATCCTCTGTCTTTTCAACCAGAGCGAGAGGGTGCCGATGAAAGTCATATTTGTAGCTGCCCCCTAGCTTGATATATTGGTTTTTCCCAAGAGCGCATTCTGGATGAGCATCAAAATCGCATTTTTCACAACGGTAGAACCAGAGCTTTGGGTCTCTGTCTTTTTCACAAATTATACAGACATATTGATAGTCATTTGGATCAATGTAGGTGAGGAAGAGAGGATGTTCGTCGTATTCATGCCTTACTTTACGTGGTAGAGTTGCACACCGATGATCCAAGTTGAAGTCACAAATAGCACATCTAAATAAAGCAAATCCAAATATTCTCCGCTTGCAAACATCACTGCAGGCACTGCAGCACCGAACTTCATTTCCGTCAGAAAGGAACAGACGGTGCTCGTGACTTTCATGTGTAATGGTGCCTGAAGATGCATTGATACCACATCTAACATCAATTGTAAAGTAACCATCGGGATCCATCTGGTAATTAAACCCATTGCAATATTGATGACACAACCGACAATAGAAAATACCATCATCTGTATATGATGACCTTGACAACAGGGTTAGAGGATTATTCCGTAACTGTAATTGTCTCGGCAATTCACCACAAGCTTTATGTAGAAAGAAATTACACTGTGGGCAACCATAAAACGGATTGGAGATTGGTAACATGCATCCTTCACATTTCATAGTGTTGTTGAACTCGTCCATGAGGATTAGGCTGTGCTGATGACTAAAATGTTCAATCTGCTGGAAAGTACGTGTGCTTGAATCCATGGATTCATTATCTGCGGCTATGCTGGTATCAGACCCAAAAATTCGATATTCGTGAGTGCAATTTACATGGGCAAAAAAATTACAGTCTTTGCAATTGTAACCTCCATGGCCTGATTTGAATTGAATCTGACAAACTCCACAATGAGGCTTTTCAAATTCATCTTCTTGAAGAAAATAGGTAAAGGTCAGGAGGTGAGGATGTTGTCTGATTTTGAGAATCTGTTGTAATGAAGTACAACGCCGGTGAACCATGAGTTGGCACGTGAGGCACATGTAGGGAGTGTCATCTCCATCTATTCCACAGGCATTGCAGGTGAAGGAGGTTGATTTCAATGCAATCGATTTTATTAGGCATATAAAATTATGACCCTGACCTTCGACTTCAAAAATGCACGGTGGAAAAGCACACTTGATGTCAAGGTCAAATTCGCAGAGAGAACAATGGTAAACAAAACTTTCGCAAGTTTTGTCGCACAGATCACAGCCGCATCCTATGTAATGTGGTGGTGGCTTTGCCAGTAGAAGAAGAGGGTGTTGAGGGTGCAAATGCCGCCTAATCTCTCGCGGCAGCTCGGCACATTTCTGATGAAGAAAGAAGTAGCAAGATGTGCAACTGTAGCAAGGACCGGTTATTGGTTCCTCGCATCCGGAGCAAATAACTTGTTCACCAACATATTCTAGCACTTTATTAATCAAGATCAATGGATGATATGGGTGGCTAAAATGTTCAACCTCCATTTCTCTCTATCTATCTTAGTAGAGCTTGAGAAGACTTGAGATAAGGCAAGAGTTATGTACCCCAAATTCAATATAGGTAAAGCCACCGAATAGAAAATATACTTCTAGTAGCAATCAGTATTCCATTGCTCACCTTTTGTCCTGGAACTGACCTTTTCGCCCAAGACTAAGCATGATCAAATACAGCTGCTACAGTACCGACCAACCAAAGAAATCAAGAAACACAGCAAACGGTCATTAAGATAGGAGCTTAATGAAGACATGGGTCAACTGGTGAGGAACTATTGTTCTTCCTTCTTGCTCTGCTATCCATCAAAGGCTATCTGAGAGAGAACCAAAAACAAAAATAATTCAAGAGACTCAAAGGGAGAAGGTCTGTCACGAAATAGAAGAAGGAAGATTATAATCTACAACATCTGTGGAGAAAAAGACCCCAAGGCTGCGTAGAAATAACTTTGAAGCTTCTAACAGTTATATATG